CTAAAATATCAAACAGTAATATGATACCTCGTAATAAGGAAGATAGGTACTTAATGAATTTGGTGACCATCTTTCACTCAACTGACAGTGACAATATTTGTACCTAACCTCTTCGGGTATTTTCTGACATAACCGAATGAAATCATTAACAAGACAACTTGACAACAGGGTAATTTTCAACCAATAGAAATCTTAGAATGTTGGTCATATGGCGAGGTTTGTGACGTCATAAAAATTTATATTTTTTGTAAATATCTCGAAGACGGTAAACTCAATTGAAATTCTGATTTCACAGAAATGTTTAATATTACAAAACGCCTTGAATAAAACCATAAAAAGTATAGGTCAGACTACCCCATTGTTTTAGAAAAATCTACCACTTATATTACATTTTTTTGAGTACTTCATTTCACTGTGGTGGTTTTTGTTTATACATATTATTATATAAATATTTCTTATTTATTTTTAGAACGTAAGATTGGCAGCAATTCGATGTTTACAAGAATATGTGGGCAGATACCCTGTTTTTAAGTTACTGCAATTTAAAAACCCCGTTATTAAAAAGTTGGGATTTTGCATTGACGATAAAAAAAGGTTCGTCAGAAGGGAAGCTGCCAAGGTCAGATCAATGTGGTTTCTACTCGACTCTCCAGAGTAAAAATAAAACATTTGTACACGTGATTGTAAAGGGAGTCAATAAAAAAATGTTTATATAAAAATGCTTTGTATTTTTATCCTGTTCTTATGACTAACAAATGTTAAGGGGTCATTCCACGCCAAATCAAACACAATAATTGTCAATAATGACATAGCAGATGCCTGTTCTTTTCGTTTCATGTGGTTCATTTTTGACATCTTTTAGATTTTTGACACCTGTCAACTGTCATTCTTGACATCTGTCGCTCATCATTTTTGACATGGGTTACCTGTAGTTTTCGAAAAACGACCAGTAATAATAATAATTAAACAATCATTAAAAATCTGACGTGAAATGCCCCTAATGTGATTAAAAAAATCAAATATTTTTTTTTACTTCCGACACTGAAAAATTGGTTTTTAGGCACCTCTAGAAAGTGCTTTCCAAATTTGAGCTCTTACTTATTAATAGGAAGATCCTCTTCACAATTTTCCATTTTTTTCTTTAGTCCATATTTCATTAATAATGAATTGTTTAATCAAATCTTCATACATATTTTTGTAGGAAATTAAATACTCTACAAAATAGGATTGATGTGTTTAAGCGCTTACTCTAACCATTTAAAATATATTCAAGATTAAAGTTTGAAGAATTTATTATTATTTTTTTTTTGAATAATTTTGTTACGCTTTGAGAAAAGTAACACTTCTCCGCACCCATAAATGCGCAAAGTTGCCGCATTTGCATTTAAAATGTACGTAAGTACACAATCAAATTTATTTAGTTACTTAGTGTCAAACAAAGTGAAACGTCATAATATATTATAGATTTTTCGCGAAATTGAAATGAACATTTTGGAAGAAGAGCTACCATATGACATCCTGGAGGCAGCAAATACTGTAAATGAGAATTTATCACCAGCGAAATCCTGTCAAAAATATGAGAAATAATTTAAACATTTTGAAAACTGGTGCAACAATAAAGGGACAACAAGTTTTAAGGAAGAAGTGTTTCTGGCCCATTTTGCGGATTTAAGAAAATCATATCAGCCAAATACTTTATGGAGTAAGTACTTCATGTAAAAAGTGTCCTAAAAATTAATAAAAATTTGGATTTGAGTCTATATTATTATAATAAACATCATATATAAAAAAAGAAAATGTGCGATACCGACCAAAAAAGTCCAAATTTTTTTTTTAGAAAGTTGACATTTCAAGATTCATTAAAGAAGCACCAGATAAAATGTACCTTTTAATAAAAGTTGCCACTATTTTTGGGTTGGCTGGTGCTTGTAGGCGAGAAGAGCTCTCAAAGATAATGATTGATGATATAGAAGATACAGAAAATGTGGTAATCGTGAAAATTTCGGACAGTAAAAATTACACATCAAGAATCTTTGTGATAGGTATCTGATGAAATAAATAATGGTCATTACTTACAACTGTTTAAAAAATATTCAAATTTGCGAAAACCAAATACCCCACACAAGCGGTTTTTTGTCAATTGAAGGGGTTAGAATAGAAAGGGTATAAGTGCAATTTCTTTAATTTAGGAGATAAGTTCGTTTTGTGAAAAATAAGGTTCCGACGTATCGAAATAAAAAGGATTTAAGTAATTTTCATACTTCTAGCGACCTCTATTATCCAGTAGAAAAACATTACTAAACAAAATTCTTCACTTTTTTATGGTAACATAACTTTAACTTCAAATATCTCCAAACAATGAAAATGTACTTATACCCTTTTTATTCTAACCCCTTCAATTATAAAAAAAGAGCATGCACTACCCAATGTGTAGGAATTAATACATTTGGTAAAATGACTGCACAAAAGGCTGCATATCTAAACTGAGGAGTATAAAGGTCATAGTTTTCGTAGATCCTCCGCTACCATATTAGCCGATTCTGGGGAACGAATTTCCAATGTTAAGCGACTTATCAAATAAAATATTGGACATAAAAAATGCGCTCATGCGCAAAGTAATTTTTCCGCACTTTCGTGCAATTGCAATAGCACCACCGAATTGACCATTGATTACTCTAACCGTTAAGAAGATATTCGTATCCGAATATCTTCTTAACTGTTAGAGTAATCAATTAAACACATCAGACTTTTGTAAAGCGTTAAATTAAAAAAAATATGTCATACTTATTTGACAATATAGTTATATATATGTGTTTAATTGATTACTCCAACAGTTAAGAAGATATTCGGATACGAATATCTTCTTAACGGTTAGAGTAATGAAAAAAAACCTAAAATATGAAAAAAAACTATTTGAAAAAAAACCTGAAACAAAACAAAAAAACGGAACTTTTTTCGCATCAATAATCTTGAATATCTTTTAAATGGTTAGAGTAATCGTTTAAACACAACAGTCCTTTCTTGTAGAGCATTCAATTTTGTAAAAAAATATGATTTTATTAAATGATTGATTAATAATGAAATATGGTCTTTTTCCAATTTGGTGAGCACTTTCTAGAGGTGACCAATTTTTCAGTGTCAGAATTTAAAAAAAAATATTCGAATTTTTTAATCACCCTAGTGAATACAGTTTTGGTCCAGATTAGTAGAAGTACACACAAAGACATTGGTATTGGACCTTTGAAATTTCATAAACAGCCCTAGTAGCAATTCCGGAAAAGTCTTGGCCCAGCATGGGTCAAGATACTTTGGACAGATTTTTGCTCAAGAATTGTTCCAGATTCTTGGCCAAGATTATTGGGCAAGACTTGAGCCAGACTGTGGCCAGAATTTGACAAGAATTTGACCAGAAATCTGAGGCCATCTATTGCTAAACTTTGGGACTATCCTATAGAGTAGAGATTCTCATTCTACAGTAGTATCATTCACAATAATGTATACTAGTCGAGAAGTGAGTTCTCGAAAATACGAATAAGAGCTTATAGGATTCGTCTTCTAGCTGAGAAAAAAAATTGATTTTTTGAAAAATAAAAATTATTTCTAAAAATCAAAAATTAAAAAAAAAAAGTTTGTGTCAGCTCTGACGCATAACTAGAGTTTACTCTTTATGAACATGAAAGATTATAAAATACATGTTTATTTTTACGGGCACCTGGTTTTTTTTAACATAGAAAATTAAAAATTTTAACTCTTTCAAAATTTGTCTTGTTTTTAATTCTATTGTTTACCAGATTTATGGATAAAAACCGAATTTACTGGTAAAGCCGGGTCTACAATTGTCGCAGAACGCAGATCGCAGAACGTAAGCATGCGCAAAGCACCCAGCGACGTTGCGATGGAGCAAGGTCACACGTCGCAGAAAGTTAATTCATCTTCAATAACGTCTTTCGCAGGCTTTTATGTTAGCCAATCATAGAGCGCTAGAATCTATCTATCTCTGTGCTCTCTTTCTTTCAATAATCAATACTTTTATTTAGTTCCTTTTCCTATTTCGCGGTTATTTTTAAATTTTTGGTGTAATTTTCAGAAAATATTCGAAAAACGTAATTGTCCAAATTTAAAATAATTTTCAATATTTTCTAAAGACCATTTAAATAAATGTAGGTATGTATATTCTTATTACTATTGAATATTCATACCTATATTGATTTAAATAGGTAGTTTTTAGGAAATATCGAAAATCATTTAGAATTTTCAAATTTTGATCAAAATAATTATTTAAAATTTTAAATAATATTAACTAATTCTTTGATAATCTAAAAAATTTTTCCAATCCAATATTGGAAATATTTGTTTACCAAACACTTTACTTTTTATTCCCTAAAAATTTGCATTTTTTCATTTATATAATATACAAATATAATTATATATAAACTCTTAAACATTTTTTACCTAAAAATAAACCCCAAGCAGTTTTTTAGAGATAGGGATCCATCCATATCTCTGTTTTTTTCACTAAATTTAGGGGAAACACTTCTACGTTGGCCACACTGTGGTTATATAGAAAACAATTGCTCTGATTGGTCAATAAAAGCACATCGCGCGACAATTGTAGACAGCTCACATAACAACGACGTGTGACCTTGCTCCATCGCAACGTCGCTGGGTGCTTTGCGCATGCTTACGTTCTGCGTTCTGCGACAATTGTAGACCCGGCTTAAGAAATCGTGGAAAATTAATGTTTTTAGTAACATTCTTAACTTTTGAAGTTCAACAAAATTTTGTATTGACCAAAAATCTTGAATTGAAAGTTCCTATTTAACGTGTAATCGTGTAAAAATTCTTGGCCAAGAATCTGGTCAAATTCTGGTCACAGACTTGTCCAAGTCTGCCACCAGTCTGGATAAAGAATTTTGATCAAGAGTCTTGGTCAAGAATTGTCCAATTCTTTACAAAGTGCTTCTCCAAGTATCTTGGCAAAGAATCTTGTCCAATTCTATTGCTACTAGGGAGTAAAAACTCATAACGCAACCGTATTACACCCAGGTGTAATCTGGGTTGCTTACATTCGTTTCGAATCAGTCAAGGTTCATAAATAGCGCGACTGACTGTACTGCTTTTTCTCCAAGTGTATCACAGGTTCTTTTTAAATAATACTATCACAATAAACATCCATTATAGCTCAGTGAGTATTCATGTGTTTTTTCAAATAGGACTTCTCCAAAAAGCCTTTCCCGCAAATCGAACACACATGACACCTGTCGCCTTTGTGGATCCTTTCGTGCACTTGCAAGTTGTAAATGTTATTAAACGCTTTGGCGCACACGCTGCAAACGAACGGTTTCAAGCCGGAGTGAACGAGTTGATGCTGCTTCAGCTGCCTTTTCGTGTGAAACTGCTTCTCGCACTGATCGCACGCGTGCGGCTTCTCGCTGGAATGCTTCACCATGTGGCTGTATATGTTGGAGACGTGCTCGCCGCAAACCTGGCACAGACTTTTCACCATTTCGTGCGTGTGTTTGACGTGGTTGTTCAGCTCCGAGTTGTACTTGAAACCGCGCTCGCACGTTTTGCAAAAGTATTTGTTTACTTTGGGCGTCACGGGGGTGCACACGTGATTATCGCGAGACTCCTTGTCCTTGAAAGACACCAGGCAAAGCCGGCACTTGCAGACTTTGTATTTCATGGAATACCTCACATTCTCTATGTGTATCAATCGATGTCTGTTCAAGTGTTCGGGATTGTAGAACCGCTTGGAACAATCACCGCATTCGAACGGCAGTTCCACATCCGAATGCGTCAACATGTGGAACTCGTAGTTTTTTTTACTAACAAACCCCTTCCTGCAAACCTCACAATTATACGGGAACTCTTTGAAATGAGAAATCCTGTGCACGTTTAAGTGGTTGATTTTTTTGAATACTCTACTACATTTATCACATTTATATTCCTGCACGTTTCTATGCTTTAAGAGGTGTATTCTCAGATCTTTAGCGGAGAACGTTTCGGCACAATATGTACATTCGTGTGTGGATACATTTAATTTACCCACTTTTCTTTTGCCGTAAAATTGTATTGTTTCTGGGACTCGATTTTTAACGTTTAAATATTTTTTTAAGGTTTTGTGAGTGTGAGCATGTTTTCTAAGGTCTTCAGCTGATAATTCTGCAGGACATATCGGACAGGGGTGTAAAATTGGATCACTTTGAGAAATATCCTGCTGTGTTGCTTTTTTCTTTTTTTTCCTTTCTTTTTTGTGCTCATCAACTGGAGTTTCAGTGTTTACAAAAATAAATGGTTCTTTGATATCATCAAGAGTATCATTTACTTTAGTATTTTCATTTATAAAACTGTTGTTGGGTTGTTCTTCAGTTTTTATCATTAAAATTTCATATTCTTGTTTATTATTGTGGTAATTTTTTAATACAGCTGTAGCATTATCATAATTTAATTTCAATGTATATGCTGATATAATCAATTTGGTACAAACTGAACATATTAACATATTCGTTTCAAACTAAAAGTAATACAATTAATGTAAGAATTATAAATAAATTAAAGTACACTGAGTTTTAAAATTAGAGAATTTATTGTTGTTTTGGATAAGGGATTATTTTTTAATTTTAGCCTTTTTGGGCAGCAGTTTGCAGAAATTAAAAAAATGACCATTTACATACATCCCTAGGCATTTAAAATACTAAAAAATAATACATATCGTCCTAGAACAGTAAGAAAATTAGTAGAAAATTCTCTAATTTTGAAACTTGGTGTACATTAAATAATCGCTTTACCTCTTCAAAAGCCAACTTCTCAAATATTTCAGGCACACTAATAAAACCTGAACCTGGCATAGAAATTCTCGAGTGCATTGAATATGTTTGACCTTTATCCTTCAAGCATACCCTACATATCGTTTCTAAGGAATCAGGATTAAAGTTTTCCATAGAAAAATGTATTATTTTCTTTCACAAAAATTTGTTTGTTTTGAAAGCAACCCAGCACAGATTCTGTGCCACAGAACATAACCCCACTGACATATAACCATAGATCAGGGTTGCCAGGTGTAAAAAATAAATTTACCCAGAAAAGTTGCCAGTTTGAAAAAAAAATCCTCAGATTTTTTTTAATGTAAAACTATATCTAATTTAGGGGAGGATCTAGAGAAAGATTTTGGGGAGACAATAAAAATGCGAATATTTATTTTTTGTTTTTCGTTGGAACTGAAAAAAAAATACTTCTTAAAAAATTGTAGATTTTATTAAATGATACCTATGTGAAGAATTTTTTACTAGTAAAAAAAAATTTTGTCAAAAATTTGTTATGTTGTAAGAAGAAGCGTAAATAGGGAGTAAATTTATTTTTTAAAAGATGATTTATTTGCATTGTCTTATTTCATGTTTTCTTTATTTACGTAGGTTATTTTTTCAAAAAAATCCCCAGAGACGCGGTATTTTAAAAAAGTTTTCCCCGAATCTCCAGAATCCCCACCAGACCTGGCAACGTTGCCATAACCACTCGATTTCGACATAGCACCGTTGGTGGGTATACTCATATACCTATAGTTATTATAACTATAATAGGTATAGGGGTATACTGCACAGAAATAGAAGGTTCTATTTCTGTGGTATACTGTGGTGAAAGTTTTCCACAGAGACAACTTACAGGGACATTTACTCTATGGTTTTCCAGAAAGATTTTGATTAAACCAAAATTTATATTTAATATACTTATGTAGGTTAAAAAGTTAAATCATGAAATACACCTTTTTGAGTTTTATTTATTTAAAATTGTTATTGCGTTTTTAACTTAGGTACCTTAATATTAATATTTTTAAATTAATATTAATTAATATTAATATTGAACCTGGTGGTTAAAATTTAAAAATATTAATATTAATTATAATTAATATTAATATTTTTAAATTTTAACCACCAGGTTCACAGCATGTATATGTATGAAACGCCGTTTTACTATTTACTATTTAGTAATTATTTGAACCTCAATTGATGACGCAAATGATGCATGTATGTGCGGATTAAGAATCACGTTGTGACTGCAATATGCGTAAATTATGAACCTCAATTGATGACGCAAATGATGCATATATGCGTGTATACGTGCGGATTACAATCACGTTGTGACTGCAATATATATTGCGCATATGCGTCAATTATGAACCTCAAAATGTTATCTGGGTTACTGGTAAAAAATCAATTCAAAACAAAAATTGAAAAAATGCGTCATGCAATAAAAATATCTTCCTTGCCCACTAAAAATTAGTAATTTGATTTTTAATGTGAAATGACTGCTAAATGTTAAAAATACCAATTTGTGTTGACGAGAATTATTAGTGGGTTCTTTTTCGCTATGACAATTAGTCATTTTTGACTAACCCATTTTTAGAGTAAAGAATAATCAATTATTTTTTTTCAAAAGTACTCGTACTTTTTACTCGTGTTTTCACGATTACTACTCGTAACCGTAACCTCTCTTTACAAATGTGTTTACGAGTAACTCATACTCGTACTTAAAATTTTACGAATACTTTTTTTAGTAGGTACTCGTGCCCAGCTCTGCAGAATCATGATTGAAACCTGGTGGTACTTACGTAAGTATTTTGGCGTGCTCCAATTTAGCAAGTTCAAATAAAAAACTGCAGTTTGGCGTTGATTTCCCAAGTAGCAATGAAATTGGACAAGATTCCTTGTCAAGATACTTGGAGAAGCACTTTGTAAAGAATTGGACAATTCTTGACCAAGACTCTTGATCAAAATTCTTTATCCAGACTGGTGGCAGACTTGGACAAGTCTGTGACCAGAATTTGACCAGATTCTTGGCCAAGAATTTTTACACGATTACACGTTAAATAGGAACTTTCAATTCAAGATTTTTGGTCAATACAAAATTTTGTTGAACTTCAAAAGTTAAGAATGTTACTAAAAACATTAATTTTCCACGATTTCTTTCCAGTAAATTCGGTTTTTATCCATAAATCTGGTAAACAATAGAATTAAACACGAAACAAATTTTGAAAGAGTTAAAGTTTTTAATTTTCTATGTTAAAAAAAAATCAGGTGCCCGTAAAAATAAACATGTATTTTGTAATCTTTCATGTTCATAAAGAGTAAACTCTAGTTATGCGTCAGAGCTGACACACACTTTTTTTTTTAATTTTTGATTTTTAGAAATAACAATTTTTGTTTTTCAAAAAATTAATTTTTTTCTCAGCTAGAAGACGAATCCAATAAGCTCTTATTCGTATTTTCACATAAACAAAAAAACTATAGTCATTTCCTACAGAGAACTCACTTCTCGACTAGTATACATTATTGTGAATGATACTACTGTAGAATGAGAACCTCTACTCTATAGGATAGTCCCAAAGTTTAGCAATAGGTGGCCTCAGATTTCTGGTGTCAAATTCTGGCTCAAGTCTTGGCCAAGAATCTGGAACAATTCTTGAGCAAAAATCTGTCCAAAGTATCAGAGCCGGCTTAAGGCAATTGAGCGCCTTACCCAGATAACATTCGTGAGTTCACCGTGAATGCACGGTGAAAAATATTGCTTCACGCGTGAATTCACGGTTGCTAAAAGATGCGTCCGCCCCTGGAATTCACCGTGAATGCACACGTGAAGATATATCCGCCCATTGAATTCACCGTGAATGCACACGTGAAGATGCGTCCGCCCCTTAAATGCACACCTGAATTCACCGTGAATGCACACGTGAAGATGCGTCCGTCCCTTAAATTCACCGTAAATGCATGCGTGTTCTAAATTCGCGCGAAAAAAATGAAATAAGGGTGCATGTTCAGAAAACATATTTTCCCCTATAGAGTAAAATAAGTTTTCTGAACAAAAAATGTGCATTCAACATAATTTCAATTTTTTCGCGCGAATTTTAGCATGCATGCGCACTCACTTCGAGCTTCACTTGTGCATTTACGGTGAATTCAAGGGGAGGACGCATCTTCGCGTGCGTATTTACGGTGAATTTCGTGCGTATACTCAATTTTTTTTGCACTTAATTTTAAATTGGAACACAAAATAAAACGTGTTATTTTTTAAAATAACAGATTTTGTTATATTTGTAAATAAAGTCAAATGAAAAATGTTAAATTAAGATGTGATTTATGTCCAATTGGAGAATATTTTTTTAGACAATTATGCCATCCACGCCGACGGTGGTCTAGTGGTTAGTGCTGCTGACTACAAGCCGGAGGTCGTGGGTTCGAATCCCACCAGGGGTATGGCTGTTTATTTGTGTTTGTCCTATTGTGTATTAGTCCTTCGAAGGGGACTTTAAAACCCGCGGTCCGTTCCTACCCCTAACCGGCACAAGCCATTCAGTTGGCTTATGGGACTTCTTAAGAAGTAAGGGTGGAACTAAAAGAGCACTTTTGTATAAACTTTGTATAATTAAACTTGAGGTACAATAGTATACTGAAATAAAACACAAAGTGTTATGTTGTAAAGTTTATTCCGAATCAACCTCAGAGGTTTCAATGTCCTCTTTAACCTTAAAAATAAATATGAATTATAACATCAATAATACTTATTAATGCATACACATGAGTATAATACTGTATAATATTTTATTATAATATATATTATGTATCACATAATACATTATATATATTATATATTAATACATTACATCTACAGATAAGTATACTTACTGATTCATCACTGGACACATCATCAAATGAGTCAAATAACTCATCATTTTTTCCCCTTATTTTAATTTCTTTTTGGTCCTTAAAAAATATATAAATTATAACATTATTAATGGATTAAAGCATTTATTTACAAGACTCATTTTATAAAATTTAATAAATATTATTTAAAAAGCTTAGAACAAAAAAAAATATTTGTTTTTGTGTATAAAGAAAAGTCTTGCGATAGCTAATAAAAATATTCTGTATTAATTAATTAATTCATTTATTTTATTGATTAAAAAATTGTAAAATATTTGTCGACTGTATATTTACTAATAAAAATATTAAAATGGATGTCATATTTTGAATTCAAATAAAAACAAATCATTCAAACCAATTCAGCCGAGCGCGGCTTCGACTCATGAGGCGCAGTAAAAATTAATAATGTTTAAAGAAATGCCGGGCAGTGAATTTTTTTTTCAGGATATGAAACCTTTATATCCAGTACATGTAACCATGAAAAAAACTTGATTATTTGATAGAAACTTTCAAAATCAAAAATTTGAATTGTATATTTCAATGATCAAAAAAAGTATAAAAAAAATTAAAAAAAAAAAGTCCTGAAAATTTCACTACGAAACAGTTTTTTCACAATTAATTTTTTAATTAAAAGTGAGAAAAATCTTTGTTACAAAAAAACTGTTGAAGAGCCATTCCATGCCAAATCAACACACTTTAAAAGGAAATTTTTCCTCACCATTTCAGATTTTCCTAAAATTTGGTATACTTATACTATGTACTATACTAAGAAAAATACCAATTTTTAAATTTTTATCTCACACCGTTTCCGATATATGGCTATGTAAAGTTTTTAAAAACTCGCGAAAAAAGTGTGAACGTTTATTTTTTAAATTGCGCTGGAAGCTGCCCTAATTTAGTTAGAAAGCTGGGAGAGGTGTCATTTTGCAGCATTTTAAATGCTCTTTCAAATGACATACGACTGCCTAAGGTATTAATGAAAAGATTTTGTTCAAAATCCATATATATATTTTGATTCAATTTTTTTTTAAAAGTACATAATTTAAAATTCTTAAAATATTTGTATAAATACTTGGTAGTGTTCTGAATCATATAATAAAATATTAATGTGGGGTCTTAATGGGTTCATTGTTAAAAAACATATTTCTGATGCTGGTTTTTCACTTTTAACTAATTTTGACATTATTCAACGTTTATCAGGCTTAAGCCTGACAATTGTATTTTTTTTATAATGTCGGCTGTCATCATTCCCGACTTGTGTAATTTAATTACTGTGATACCATTGAGTAAAGTGTCTTTACTCAATGGTGATACGCTTGTTTTGGCGATTCATATTGAACTAAATTT